ACTTCAAATCTTTTCATATTATGTACTGTCAAACAGAAATCACTGCTTTCTGTTTTTATTAGCATTTCACATACTGTCCCAATGTTTTTGGGATTTAAGTTTGTACAGGAGAGAACTGGTGTTTTAAGATGGTGTAAATTAATGATAATAAAAAAAAGTTACACATTGAGTTAGGTTAGATAAGCTCCTCTGGACTCCTCCCCTCGCCTACAGGCTGTACAGGCTGTATAAATGCAGCATCAGCCCTGACCACACAGCACTGCCTGAGAAGTCAGAGAGGCCAAACCATGAACAGACTGGCTTTCATTCTATTTGTGCTCTTAATGGTGCTTTCAGCTGGAGATGGTAGGAAACGTTCAATATTAGTTGTTATGAGAAGATATATATGCTTGAGTGTGTGTGTGTAGGTTTGTCTGTATAGTATCTGTGTTGTGGGTGTGTTTGTGTCTGGGGGTGGGGAGAGAGAGTGAAAGAGAGAGAATATACAACATATAGGTATAAATGATATGACAATGTGCAGAACTTGAAAAACACAAAGCTAATTCATCAAAATATTTTATAATGCTATATTTTATATATGTAAATAAGTTGAAGAACAGTCTCATCCAGTCTCCAGTCTAATAGGATAATTTGCTTTACAAGCCATTGTTTTACAACTGTGTCAACATTTACTACTGGCATTGGACTTGAAAGATGTCTAAATGAGAAATCTTGCATCATACAATATACATTTAGTTTAGATAGTTATTGTTGTTATTATTATTATTATTATTTGATTGAAACCTATATGAAACTTATTATGTGAAACTATACAAGCTTGTGTGAAGTTTTCCTACTCATAACTGCTCTGGGTTATTTTTATATCTTTAACAAACATCTGTCTTTGTGTTTTAGCTGAGGACACTGAGGTGCAGTATTGGACGTGTGGCTACAGAGGACTCTGCAGGCGGTTCTGCTTTGCCCAAGAATACATTGTTGGTCACCACGGCTGTCCTCGCAGATACAGGTAATGTACATTTACCGAGATATCTCTTCATAAATAAACCTGTCATCAGATTGAAAATATGTGTTCTTATTGTTTACCCATCTCTTATTTGTAGATGCTGTGCTGTTCGATTTTAGTGAATGCTGAAATACCGCGGAACGACTAAGTCGGCCACTGAAGGAAAATGCAGCTTAGGTATTAGGGATGATTTTTTGCACACTTTTTTTAAGAACTTTAAGAACACTGATTTTTTTACACTTTCTTTAAGAATATAAGGAACAAACTGAACTATCATGAGAGATTAACAGTAATTTATGAGTATGTATTAAATTGTCTGTCTGTGATGTGCTTCTAAGAAATCCTACTTATTAACATGGAATTAAATATGATTGACATAAATATGATTGTCAAAATGTCTACATAAACAAAACAGAAAGCAACAACAACAGTTCAGGCCTGAGAGCAACATCATTACACAAGTGGCATGACAGCATGTTTACACAACTTGAGCACTCGGACGCTGACTAAATTGATGTGAATGGTTGCTCAGTCACACTTTAAATCCTGGATTACAATTAATGCAGTGCTTTTTCAAAGAAAACATGCCTTTCTTTTCTAGCTTGTATTGCTGCCCCCTTTGTGTTTATGGCAGTCAAAGCATGCTCTGGTTTAAGTGAGACTGGCTGTGGCCTGCATTGTACAGACACCAGACAATAACATGGCTAAATGACTGACCCAAATAACTACAGTGGAATGGTGCTTTTGTGAATGAACTTTTGTACAGTTTGTGCTCCTGTTTATGTGACTGCGGTCCAGTCTAATAGGATAATTTGCTTTGCAAGCCATTGTTTTACAACCGTGCCAACATTTGCTATCTGTTTTCATTCACATAGTTCTACACTGGGGATTCATGCAAACTAACAAGTCATATTTCTGGAGCAAATTTCAAATTATTAACTAAATAATTTAAGCTTACAATAAGTATATAAAATCTTTGGGGTGTAACAATACAACGTATCATACTATATCGCTGTATGTTGGCTAGCTGGCTAATACATTATCTCATGGCTAGCACGTTAGATCAGGACACTATAAAGCATACCTTTTGTTTAGTGTTTCTGTGCTGCCAAGAATCAGGTCTGAATGGATCAGGCTAAACTCCACTCTACAAAAGTCTCAAATATTGTACTTTTATAATGTTGATTGCTCTAATAAACTGAAAATGTTAACCATTAATATTAATATGTGGCACATTTTCCGGTGTTTTTTTGCTGCATTGAAAAATGTAGTGAGTCAACACACCACTGTATCATACTGAATCAAATTATAATTATGAATAGTTAGCCACTTATATGTATTTCACTAGAATGATACATTCATCTACAACAGCATGGCATATCCTGTATGCCCTCCTGGGCTAACCATACCTAAAACAAAAACACTCAGTCAATAGTCTGTACTAAGCTTGCTCTGAGAACAGTGCACAGGCCTGGAACCGCAAAGAGCAAAAGCACGAGTGTCACCCGTAACATGTGGCATCGCATTGTGCCCTGCTTTGTCTTCTCGGTTATCACTCAATCTTTGTACCTCTGCTATTCATTCAGCACAATGTGACACTACCACAATGGAGTAAACCCCCACAAATCTGTTTACATGAGGTTTTTACAATCATAGCACAGCTCGCCACCCTGCTCTGGCTGTCTGGCTGGCCCTAATCAGAATTTGTGACCTGCCAATCTGAATTAGTGATTTTCAATTTCGATTTTCATCTCAAGGGGAAACGACAGATCGAGTTCATTCAGTCAAGCACCGACATTCACTAGATACACCATGTCTTATGTGTCTTATGCTTGTTACCTCTAACAGAATCAGTCTGTCTCTCTGGCAGGCAATTTTCATTGACGACCTCATCTCCACTGCAATATATGCAGAACACCTCACTGTGATAATGAAGTAAACTTTATCATTTTCACAAAAGCAGCCCCGAATGCATCACTATCAACTTTGTTGCTCTGCATAAAAGTGGGCCTCTGTGGAACTTCAAACTGACAAGCTGTAGGAGAACAGTTCATTGTCACACTTTTTACTCTTTGAATACTTGTTGTGCAACCTCAAAGGGGGCTGGCTGTCACAATCATACCTTATGTGAACTCTATAAAGAACAACAATAGCAAAGTTTATCTGTCATCAAAGAGTAATCACTCTTAAAGAACATTACATATGAATGGAAATTGAAATCTAATGTTTCCATTAACTAGATTTACATGAATTAGACCATGTAATCTAATTCCTACCCTGATAGCAAGAGGACAGTGGATCACTATCGGCCCACTAATGGCAAAGCTGGCGGTCCAATTTCGTTTTGCTCAGCGTTTTCTGGGCGGTCCACCGGTGGTTAAGCAGAGTAATAGACTAAATTCCACTTATCATCACTCATTTTCCATTCACAGTCCCATTTACTTATTTTTAGCGGGGTGCCGACCTTATCAAGCCAGTGGACCGATATATGCTTGCTATCTGGGTAATTCTGTCAAAAATGTTAAATTCAAGAAATCACAGAACAATCATTGACTCCCATATTTATAAATAAGTGTCGCCATCCATCAAAGATTCCCCTAGACTGTCCAGATTTTTTGGTTGCCTGTCCAGAACAAAAAGCCATTCTTGGACATAAAATGTCCAGGAATCCAAGCATTTTCATTTCGTAACTATTTATACTTCTTAAGTTTTTAACTGGAGCTACAAGGCTAATGTTGCTAACAAACACTTGATAGTCTCCCAAAATGTTTCCCCAAAACTTCTCTCAAACCCCACCCACGTTTTAATATAGGTTGCACCAACAAGTTGATGAGGTTTCGAACAGAGTATGACTTACTATGAACTATAATAAAACCAGCTAGTGAAAAATGATCACCACACACATGTAACCTTAGATGCTGCCAGATAACTTTTCTGAACGTCTCTGCTGATAGTTTGTGGTAGTTGTGTGGTATCAGTAAGAAATCGGTGGTAACAGACCAGACCTCCTGTAGATTTGTTCTGTTTTACGCATAATTTTAGTAGGTCAATATGCAATTAATAACTCTCTTACAGTAAGTACGCCTTATGTATTACTGTGCTAAAGCTATGCACCTGCGTAGTGGTTTTTGAACACGGCCCTGCGCTCCAGCTTCCCAGAGTTCGTGGCGCAATACGACTGGAAAAGCAGGACGTGTCCCAATTTTAATTGAATGTGTAATTAAATAAGGTCTATCCATGCAATTTTACCAAATTCCTTGGCAGGTTTACATGGCTTATCAACATAATCTGAAGCAAATATATGAAGATTAAGGCATTGCAAAAACGGTTTTGGTGACTGTTTACTTCCAGCGTTTGTTAGCACTGTTAGCCTGGCAGCACCAATTTTAAACTGAAGAAGCAAAACTTGGACACCAAACATGGCTTTGCTGATCGACTGCATTGGAGGTAAGTAGAAAATCATGTAAACTTGAGATTTTTCCTCAAACGTCCGTCTCTTTATCTGACCCCAAAATCTTACTAATGAAATTAGGAAAACGGAACTTTTATTATTAAATGTTTTGCCGTTACACAGTAGGTCAAACAAGAGATGACCTCTGCCCTCAAAGCTTAACATGTCAGTATCGTTGTTCTGGACAGCTCCCCCGGGTGGCAACCAACCCCATTTAGCATCTGCTCGATTACTGGACTCGTACAAGCAGAAAGGACAGCATTAGTTTGTCATCGTTGCACTGGCGGCTTGTTGATTTTAAAATTCTTCTTTTAGGCTCGTAAAGCTACAAACGTTTGCACCTTCATACGATACAAACTGGGTCTTAAGATGCTGGAAAATGAAAGCAAATATACAAATAACTGGACTAAAAATAACAAAATGTAGCAGAACTGCTGTATTTCAACTGAGTGACAACAAAACGCTCCAGTTTAGGATGTGCTTTAATGAGGTCTTTATACATGTCGTCCACCGGGTGGCAGTCAATAACTCGCGAGTGAAAAAAAGCAAGCAACGAAGAAGACCTGCTGGGGAAACGCTACACATTTGAATTTGTATTTTTTAGTGTTTCATCTATTTATACCTCTATCTTTAACATAGTTAATGTATTTTCAGCTTGAGTCTTTTCACTAGTGAAAGTCTGACAGGTTACCAAGTTATTCACCGACATATGGCGAGAGCCGCTGTCTAATGTAGCCATAGAGCTGTGATAAAGCTGTTAACTAGCTTAGCTGAGGTAAATCAGAGACCTATAACAGTTTATAACATGGATGTATCGTCTGACGAAGCTGACGACTGGTTTATGGAGTCATTACACATGTAAGTCCTTCAGTGAGTCCTAAAACCGGTGGCTAGGTTTACAGCTGGCCTGAGCTACATATTCTTCATGCTTGCACTACAAGACACGAAGCTGAGGTTGGCTTCTTATTCTAATTATCCGTTCCACCTTAAATGCTGCAGCAGTTACATTGTGGCGCCTGTGAGGAGTATGTCACTGCTGCACCGTTTAAGGTGGAACGGAAAATTTAAATGAGAAGCAATCCTCAAGTCTCGTCAACAACAGCACTGATCTGTAGGTCTGTACACTTGATGTTCCTGATGTTTCAGCTTTATATCTCTAGACGCTGCTGCTAACTGGTTTATAATCTTCTCCCTGCATTATAACATCATTAAACTGTGATCCATACATTTAAAATTGCACATTCATATTTATTCAGATTTTATTGTTGGTATGTTCAGATATCTATGGGGATTTAGTTGTGCCTTTTATGTGTGTATGTATGTATTATGTGTGTCTTTCTCTCTTGCAGGTATAAAGACTTACATGTATTTCAGCTGGAGCATCCAACAAAAGTAATCGAGTGGACGAGTGAAAAAAGTAAAGTACAGTTTTGTTGTTTATGTAAAAAGGCTGAATGATTCTAATTATGATTTTTCAGACCAATTTTGTGACAGCGATTTCAGTTTTGATTATTTTCTATAAAGGTCAAAGCCTATTTTTGGAAAAGAACACCAGCAAATCCAGTTTCTTCTGGCTTTTTCTGGGTAGTTGTGGTTGTCACATACCCAGCACCAGAGTTTGTTTGCTTTTTATTGGTCTGACTCATCTACAGGCAATGTACATGCTCTGTGTTATTGTGTTAAGTTTCCCATTTTAAAACTTGTTAAGGCAATTATAAATAGTTTCTTGTCCAGAACAGGAGAACTGGCATCCAGCAAAAGTTGGACGTCCTGCTGTAGATCTGTTATGTTTGGTGGAGAGATGTTCTTCATCACCATAGCTCATCACACTTTTAGTAGGAAATTGACAGTCAGTTTAATACTCTGTTAGTTTTCAGACACAAAACTGACAAAATCCCATTTTGACTGAAGACTTTGTTGATTATTTGTATTAGAAACCATGAAAAAATAAGGTAAATATTTGGAATTATATTTATAATATTTGTCAAATTGTGTGCTTCAGTTTTTGTGTTCAGTTTTTCAACTAGTGGATAGCATAATAAAATGAATACTGAAATCCAGTCAAATGAAATTGTATTTGTGCTGTATATGTTGCAGGTGTATGTGTAGCAGGTTACTCTTCACCAAAGAATGAAATTTTAGAGCTGCTGTTGCCTTTAAAGCTGTATGCTGGAGATAAGCAGGTAAATCAAGAACTGAACACCTCTTACATAAGTAATTCTTGACTCTAGTCCTGGAGCATCACTGTTTTCCCAGCTCCTACAATAACTTTTTTATCGTAACTTAGCACTAAAAATTGTGCATACACTCACCACACCTCACACAACAAAATCAAGAGCTAAACTTAGCTGAGTATCTTTTATCTAATGTTATTTACTTTTGTATAACTTTCTAAAGGGCCTGTGTCCAGAGCGAGACTTTAAAGTACAGCATGGAGGATTCTGCGATGAGCCAGTTGAATGTCTGAGACACATCTTTGGAAAAAGGTGCTGCTTAGCATTAATACTCTCTTCAAATGACAAGATAATTCATACTTCTTCATCCTGTCCTTGCTACAGAGTGAGTTTAGATCATAAAATGGAGTTTACTCAAAGCTAATATCATAAAAATTAGTAACCCCCCCCAGGATTAATCCATACTTATACTATAGTGGGTCTTAGTGTTATTGAAATGATAGTGATGTTGTCTATGTTGACCAAAGCATCAGGTGCTTATCTCTCACTGTTAGGGAAAGATGTTGAAATGATTTTTTTTTTGCTTTTCAGTAACAGGTGTGTGGTGACAAGTGGGCGTAATAGTTCTAAACTCCAAGTCTGGGACCTCAGAGAAGATGACAGTGGTAACTATTGAGATTTTCTTTTTTATTTTTATGCGTTATTGCAGCAGTTCATTATATCTTTGTGAAATACAAAGATATAATGGTACAGTATCCCTTTCACTGTATGATTCATGTGTGTTTTATCAGTGTTCTTGCATTTTAGTTCTTTTGCAGAGTAGTTTGGTTTTCAATTCAAGCCTCGTACAGATGTTTTTTTTTTTCCTTTCCTAAATGACCAAGATGTTATCAAGAGGACTGGAGTTATAAACCTTGAACGCACGTCAGCTGAAGGCAGAAAAATTGCATCAGGATTGACAGAGGATCCTTCTGTCCTGCATGGATCTCAGATCAATGATGTACAGCTAACTGAGTTAGTCTCTGGGAAAGTGCTTTACGCAGTAGGTAAGGACAAAATGTCTTTTTTTTTCCTTTTCTTTTACTTTTTTTTTGTTAACCTTTTAAAACTGAAACACTTGTTCACAGGCGCAGATTCATTGGACGCAGTGAGTGGTCTGCAGTTTGTAAACGCAAATGCATTTGTCATTTGCGCAAATAATGGAACACTGTATGTTGGAGACACAAGGGATCCAAGGATCGAGCATTATGCTCTCCAAGAGAGTATGAACAGATCACACTGGATTTTTGGACTAAAAACAAATCTGCCTCAGTCAGACCTCGCCTCTTGCACTGTCTCAAGGCTCTCTTCCTGTGGGCAGGTGTTACTGTCTGATTTCCGAAAAATGAGCAGTCCAGTCAGAGAAGTTCAGCTTAATCTTCAACACAGTTTTCCCAGCAGTGACTTTATGACGGTGACGTGGGCTCCTGCTCTGGATAACTGTCTGTCTGTATCAGGTAGGAGGCATTTAAGGCTGTTATTGTGTATGTAGTAGTATGGGGTTAAAAATCAGTACAGACTGACCACCACATTACAATGGTAATGAACATGATTGACTGGCTGGTAAGTGTGTTATTAACATCAGCTCTCTCTTTAACAAATCTTAGAACAAATACAAACAGCAGCAGTATCTTGGCAAAATTCAGTTCATATACATTTTGTTTTTGTTTTTTACTACAGATCTATTTAGAATCACTTAGGAATTTATGTATATTGTTGTATATTCGTATGTATTGAGTATCATTCAGGAATCAGTGTCAAAGTCAAGGTATTGGTATTTACAGTTTTTGAGGAATACTCAGCCCTAGTAAGCAGAGACACTTGGTTACACTGAAATGTTATGAAAATAATATTAAGAATGTTTCCTTTTTAAGGGTTCGATGGAACAGTTCTTGTCTTCGACACAACACGTTGGACCACTGACTTGAAAAACCCGGAGCCTATGTTTGTACACCGTGGTCACAACTTTTCATGTGAGGCAAAGACTGATGGTACTCCGCTTGTGGTTACTACTCATGTGTGGCATCCATGGCGACCAAGAACTCTTCTATCAGCAGCTTCAGATGGATCTATGCATGTGTGGGATTGGGTAGACAAAGATAACAATAGTCTTTGATCTTGTGTGTATGAAAAGTACAAGCATATTGTTTGTTTAGCTTTTTATAAAAAAATAAAAAGAAGAAGGAGAAGCACTGGCACTAGTCACTGACAAATAATGCAAAAAAAAAAATGCTTGAATAAACATTTGATATGAAATCTTGCTACAATGCTTTCTCATCTGTGATTGCTTTTATGTCAATATGTTTAATATTTTAGAAAATAATGTAGTAATAGACAAGCATATAAAAAGGTATAGATAAAGGCTCATATGTCTAAATAAACAGGATCAGTGCTGATATAAATAAATGCAAAGTTAACTCAGATTAAAGTGGGAATTCCAATGATTTCAAAATGTGTGTATAATTCAGTCATTGAAATATAAACAAAATAATTCAGTGGTCTGTGAAATGGAACAGCATAGAGAAACTTACTCTGATTGTTACTCTAACAGTTGTGATAGCAGTGTTTACAATGTAAATAAGCCATTTTATTACTATTCAGAACCACCAGTGAAAATACACTGATAAAGACCTTTTTAAGTGTGTGGGGTTGCCACCTGTCCAGGATTTACAGGTTTTTGGTTGCCTGTCCAGGGAAAAAAAATACATTCTTCAACATAATAAAATGTCCAGGAATCCACGTATTTTCATATATTAGTACTACTTACAAAGTTTAAACTACTTATTTTAATCCAAAAATAATGAGTGGTATGTGTAGGGAAGGTAACTGTTTTGAACAGGTTCCCCAGGGCAGTAGGCAGCACTTCAAGTTAACTGTTAAGATAAAGTTCTGTACCTAAAGGGACCTTTACATTAGGCTGCATCATCAGCATAACTACCTCTCTGATAAATTTAGTAAAAAATCAAGCCATTGATCAAGTGTCCAAAATGAATGAATATGCATGAAAATCTAAACTCATACTTTGCACTACTCACCTACGTCCAAGCACAAAATCTAGATGAGTCATACCAGTCTGCACTCAGCCTGACCATCTGAATGTCTATGAGCATATCAGAGGAGCAAACAGTGATCTAAACTGAAAGTACACTCACTGTACAAAATACGCCCAGCTCCGCTTCGAGAAAATACCTACAAGAAAATATATGAAAATAAATATTATATTATTATCCACACCAGTGCAAGTGTATGCAAGTTATTATGAGGTCAGAATTGGGCTGGCAAGGCTTTTTCCTTAAACTGCAAGCAAAGTACATCTTATATTCAAAAGCAGGGGTGGAAAATGCCTCAGTAATTGCACCTCATTACTCATTTCAGTATTATTTTGGAAGACCTGTACTTTACTTGAGTATTATTTAAACTAAATACTTAAAGACTTTCATTCCAAAATGCTGTACATCTATTTGTTGCAATTTTTGACATAATTTTTTTTAAAGAGTAACAGCTGATGTATAGTGAAAACATTTTTATTTCTCCAATAAAGGTGGTAGTGATCAGAATAGCATTATAGAAGCACCCAAAAAAGAGCAATACAGTTTCAAATGAAAATTTACATCAGATTAAAGGGGAATTCCAATGATTTTTCAAAATATGCAGAATTCAACTGCTGAAATATGAACAACACAATTCACTGATGAACAAAACAATTCTGATGTGAAATGCTGCATCATAGAGAAACTTCACGACTCAGATGTTTACAATGCATACAAGGAAAATACAGATATTTTATTTGGGTACTAATTTTCCTTACAACCTGTACCTCTCTGCATGTGTTTTAAAATTAGTTTCAGGCCTTATTGTAAAACATACATTCAAGAATGTTTCAGGCATAACCATTTTGTGCAATAGGTTTATGTGAGATAGCTTTTAGAAGCATTAAACACTTTGGATGTCTGGTTCCTATCACCACCACTGTGAACAATTCTGTCTAGGTTTCTCTAGAACGGTGCATTTCACATCCAAATCCTCTGCGTGACATCTTAATGCTTGTATTATTCTGAAATTTTTCAAAAAATGATTAAATTACTCTATGTGTAACAATCTTAGATTATACTTTGACAAAAGAAATCGAAAGACATGGTGACAGGATTTTTCCACAGAGCCTGGTATTGTTGGTAGTTTGGCTCTTTTTAAACTGTCTCTAAAATAATAATAATAGTAAGTTAATTCACATTTTAAAGAATTATTAGGCTCAGTGCTAATCACTGATTGCTTGTGGCATCATAAGAAAACTCCACAAAGGCTATCTCTTCAAACTCTCTCTTCTCTCCACATTCCATGAGGCAGGCAAAGGTCTTTCTATCCTCACAGTGAGCCAGATCAGAGTACCCACTGGGGCCGTTATGGATGATCAGTGGTTTGCTCCAACCAGAGGCATCCAAAGGGGCCTTGTTCAGATAAACTGCAACATTCTCTCTGGACAATTTGTCAGATGGATGTGAGTGGAGTAACCAAGTGTTTGTGTGAGGTGTTGAGGAGCTGCTTTCCTCTTTGGCATGTTCAAATGCATGAAAGCTCAACACACTACCTTGGCAACCTGAGCCAGTCTCCACCAGCTTCTGTGACTTTTCACATCTTTCAAAAGCAATTTCAGTGTGTTTCTCGCTCCAAGACTCTACTCTGTGGCCTTTTCTGGTTCGGGCGTTGCAGTACAGCTGACTTTTGCCTTCCTGGTCAATCAGCTCTGCCATCTGACACTCATTAGACTCAGCCTTCATTTTACTTCCCATTTTCCATGTCTTGCCGTCGTCATCACTGTAGAGCGCAAAGGCATAGGAAGTGGTGTCAGACCCCTTTTCAATGTAGTAGACATAAGCAGGAATGATAAGTCTTCCACTCTTCATCTGAATGCCGTGCCCAGGTCCAACAGCGAATGTAGCCCAATTACTAATCTCATCTCCAATCACACTTTCTGTCAAGTCTGTCACTTTGCTCCAACTCTGACCATGGTCTGTGCTGCTGATGTAACACAAGCGAGCCTTGTTCTTACCAGTCTGGATCTGTTCGTTTTCAGGGGTGTTACCCAACACACAGATAAAGAATAAAAAGAGCGTATTGGATTTGTAGACCGGGCAGGGATTCATAGTGCGATATCCTTCTAAACACGCCTCGGTGAGCACCTCAGCTGGTGACCACTGAAAAAATAAAGACATTTAGCAATTTTTGCACGTATCTTATAATATCATATAAACAAATCAAAGTAATGTTAAGATATGTTTAACTCTGCATACATCACCTCAATTTTTCCATCCTGCCGTTTACCCTTCCTCAGAACCAAGACGTCTGCATCACTGTCGTCATATGTCTTCCGCTTTTCAGCAAAGGCAAAGTAGGTCTGACAGTCATTGATGTAGATTAGTGCTGGAATTCTGTATGTAATTTGACCCTCTCTACTGAATAGTGTTCTTTTTGAAGATGGATGGAGGTGAAGATTATGGTCAGGCTGTTTTGATGGACTTTCCATTCTGTAAATTGTCCAGAATGACAGAAAGTTAAGAAAAAGAAATTAGTAAATGGCATTATGTTAGTATGCCAATTTTCATACAGTTTCTGAACAACATGGTTTCCTCTGTGTGTGTATATACTCTCACCGAGCACTTTATTAGGAACAACTATACACCTACTCAATCATGCAATTATCTAATCTGCCAGTCATGCAGATACAAGCCAGCAGCTTCAGGTAATGTTGGTCTGAGTATTTCTATAACTGCTGATCTCCTGGGCTTTTCACACACAACAGTCTGTAGAGTTTACTCAGAATGGTGCAATAAAGAGAAAACATCCAGTAAGCAGCAGGTCTGTGGATGGAAACGCCTTGGCGGAAATGCTATGTCAACAGAGAATGGCCAGACCATCTGTCAGAAAGACTAAAATAATTCAGATAACCACACTCTACAATGGTGGTGAGCAGAAAAGCATCTCGCAATGCACAACATGTCAAACTTTGAGGTGGATGGGCTACAACAGCAGATGACTATGTCAGATTCTACTTCTGTTAGCCAAGAACAGAAAGCTGAAGCTGCAGTGGGCACAGATTCACCAAAACTGCACAATTAAAGGCTGGTTCCAGGGTCTTAACCTGCCTTGAGTCAGCAGTCCTGGCTGGTGGAGGTGGTGCAATGGTGTGGGGATTGTTTTCTTGGCAGGAGACCTTTTGGTCTGTTAACACCAATCAATCATCGCTTGAATGCCACAGGCTATTTGAGTACTGTTGCTGACCATGTGCATCCCTTCTTGGCCACAATTTACCCATCTTCTAATGGCTTCTTCCAGTATGATAATGTCACAAAGCAAAAGTCAGCAAAGACTGTTTTTAACATAATAGGTTCAGTGTTCTTCAGTGGCCTTCCCAGCCACCGGATCTGAATCCAATAGAACACCTTTGAGATGTGGTAGAACAGGAGATTCGCAGCATGAAAGTGCACCAGAAAAATCTGCATGATGCACTGCAACATAGATCAGAATCTCAAAGGAATGTTTCCAACATCTTGTGAAATCCATGCCAATTTTATGACTTCATAAAATTGAGCTTGTTTTGAGAGCAACAGGAGACCCTACCCAGTACTAGTATAGGATTAATAATAAAGCGCACGTTGAGTGTACACACACACACATATATACTGAAGTTTGCTTGTGTGTGCGTGTGTGTGTGTGTGTATATATATATATATATATATATACACACACACACACACACACACACACACACACACACACACACAAACACACAAGCAAACTTTAGTAGTAACTTATTAAACTATGAGCTTTAGTTCTTTTCTCTGATATGCACACAGACTAGGCACTCCTAGAAGAGTGCTTATCAACATATGGCAAAAACAAAACTGGAGAAAAAAGTTCTTTTCTTACCTGTTTATATTACGTTGTAGGTCTGTGCAACTAGAAAGTCTAGATTTGTCACTTCCTTTTGGATGAGCTGAAGGTAAGCTTTTATGTGAGCCCTAAGATTCTTTTTACTGCGAAGAAAAATTAAAAAAGTTCCCTTTTGTAAAGAAATTATATCAGAAAGTGTAAAGAAGAGTGACAGCGACCGACTAGTGTTCAGACATTTCTATGCACTGATTCATGCTCACTCAGCACAAAACCGTTACCTAAAACCCTTTCAGGAGCACTCACACCCACTGAACATACACAAAGATCATGTCATGTTTTATTTATTTATTTTTGCACACCAGGCAATATCACATGATGTATAATGTCTCTACCTATAGAACATAATAACCTCCCAATACATTTTATGGTTCAGTGAAGCTAATTCACATAAAAAGTTGAAGCACATGCAGGCAACCCAGTCCATTTATGTACACTGTGGTCATGCCTGGTCAAAGAAAGAAAGACCAAGGGTGTCCATTTTGTGATAACTTATGTAACTAACTCTTCACTCAGCAGCAGGAAGCAGGTCCACATAGTCTCTTAAAAATAAAGCTGCCAATAAGCACTTACTGGCACCTTTATTTTTAAGAGACTATATGGATCTTTGGGGTGATACTATAGTACAGAAGAACCACAGTTGGTAAATAAGTAGCAATATACAGTTTGTAAACAAGATGATTGTTTGAGTGTGAAGAAGCTTTTTAAAGTTTAATGATCACACACATAATAAAAAGGTTCTATGCCAGTTTAAAAGTTTTCCCTGAACCTTATGTCTAACAACAATCAATTTAGGAAACTAGTTTTCAAATCTGTAGGACTCTCTTTAAATGTAAAATGTCTCCACTGTCCTTGTGCTGTAACAGAAATGAGCTGCATTCTGATTAGCGCAGATGTGCTGGAGCTCTGAGGTCTTACCCAAAACTCAGATGAACAGGAAAAAGAAAGACTGTACGTTTCTTGTTATGAACAGGATTCTCTGTAATAATCAGCTCGGACTATCTGTTGTACCCAAAACACAGGGCACGAGTTGAACTCCATTACTTTTTACAAGTCCACTTCTCTGACATGCGCACTTGTGCCCACAAACAATGACGTAATCTCTATTCACGACATCCCTCCATCACATGGACATAACTCTTAGCTGTAAATCCACACGGTTTACCAGTATAAACTATAGTTTTTCAACGTTGTGGGGCCGATTAAGGCTGGGATACGGACTAGTCTAATACAGTTGCGCCAGAAACGCCCGGCTAACAACAGTAATTCGTTTCCCGTTTTCTATTTTATTAGGACCAGTGGGTTCTGTGGAAGGTCTTTACGTTTCCACGTACATTTAACATATATGATCACGGGCTAGCTAAATGATATGTAGTCCTCCAAACAAATCGATTGTTTTCCTCATTCATTCATTCTTACTGAGCGAGTCCGCATTTAGGTGAACGTTGGAGATGACTCGCATTGAGGAGCCGTTTTTAATTGAGACAAAACAAATAATTTCGCCCCCTCATTATTCCCAACTTCTGCTTTTGGGTTATTCTGCTTTTTTACTCTGACCTGCCTTGTTTGTTGATGACTGGTTGATGCCTGCATTTTTCTCGTCTGCAGTCTTGCCTCTCAGTCAAACTACTGAGCAACATGACTTTTTTGTTTTAAAGCAAACGTAATGCAATTTTAGTTAATTAGAAAATAGACGAAGGTTTTATAAATAAATGATAAATAATTACCTTGTTAACCAATCAAAACACGGATAATGCTGTTGAATGAAGAGCCGTTTGGGAGTCGAAAGAGTCGACTCTCTTTGGTGAGCTGAGCCGACTAATCTCACTCGAGGGCTTTTGTCATGTATTTTCTGCTTAACATGGGGAATACATAATATACAGAGCGAAACAGTAAGTATTTACAGAGTGAAGATACATACCGTCAATGGCAAATTATATCAATGTTTCTGGCCATCGAGATTGTACCGGTTATTTGCTAGCTAACTGTAGCTTTACGTAAGGTAAAAAAAGGGATAGATTAACGTTAGCATTAGCTCGCTAGCTAACTGACTAGCGTTAGCTAACTATTTTAGTATAAGTGTAAATCGTAATAAACCTCAAGAGATTGACATAACATTATTGACAGCTCTGTATAGTCTTTCTTTTCATATTGTCTTCAGTATTTAAAACGGTCACATAGTGGACATAAACTTGTTTACTGTATTTTAATATCACTAAAAAGGTCACAGTGCTAATCATAACTCATTTTTATAGCCCTCAATTCCTCACCCTGCCAGTTCAGTTGAATTGATCTCTCATTAGGTTACACCTTGAGTTCTTGAAAATCTGAGTTTAATCCAAACGCCCTGCTACTAAACACAAGCAATGAGAGGGAGATAAGGAGACTAACAGCTGAAGTAGCAGGCCTGAGGAGATACTGATCTATAGTCTGTGTATTTGAATAACATATTTAGGACCTGCAGCTAACATAAGATAGAGGAGATGGCATTGCCTGACTTCAGTACTGTTACTTTGTGCAGTGGGTGGATAGCATCATCACCAAATAATCATATTTTTGATCAATTTAATGCTTATTGCTACTCTTGAAGTTCACGATGAACAGATATTTTGGGGCCATTTAAAGTGAAGGCTTATCATTAAATCAGGCTCAGTGTTCTGATTAACTACTGAGTATCAGTGTTGGTACAATAAGCGTGAGCGAGCCAGTGAAAGGACTGTTTTTCAAAAATGATTCCTGGTTCTGCCTCTTCTGTGGTGATGTCACAAAGTTTGGTACCCTTCTCAATAGCGCTTTGTGTTTTTTACTTATACAAACAAAACATAACGGCTGTTTCTTTATGTATACAGGAATTTACTGGATTGAAGGTCATTGAATCTTTCTGGTAGCATAATTTCCCTGTGTCTTGCTCAGTTGTTTTGTTACAGCCCCATCTAGTGGTTTTTGACAGTCACTGCTGCCTTAGTACTTTCTAGATCTTTAGTACTTCAGCAGGTGAACACTGAAAAAACTTTGCAAATTATTTTGCAACTTGAGCATGTGTCTTAAAGTATCATTAAGTCAAAATCAAAGTAAATGATTATGATATATTTTAACTCACATGTAGATTGCCCCCCAAATGTATTTAGACACTTTAGCCAGTTAACAATTGGTAAACATTGCTGAAGTTTTTTAGGATACTTCATATTTAACTAAATGATATGTGATTTCAATTATCCATGAACTTACTGCAATGTGAGTGTCTGTGATTGAAAATCACTGAGAAAAGTAGATAAGATCACAGACACTCACATTCAAGTAAGTTCATGGGTACCTTGGCTGGCTCATTAGCTATCTGACATGTCACAGCTGTTCTACAGTAGTTATCAATCATTTCTGGTATTACTATTAGAAATTTACACTCTACAGTGTAATTCCAATTATGATTATGGTGATAAAGGTTTTCTGTTCAAATAAAAGTTAATTAACTTTTCCCAGTGACTGTTTATGCTGCATAAAATGTATATGTATAAAATGTAACTTTGTTTCTTAACTGTGCAGATGTTGCTTGGTGTCCACTGCACCCAAATGGCTTTAATGATCTAAGGCTAAAGCTTTGGCATGGAGTGTGCCTCACATCCAGGCAGTTACAAAAACTCAGGTTTTTGTAAAACAACATTGCCCAAGAAGTACTGGCACTCAACACTGACAAGTAAGTGAATACAACAAAAAGCATTAAATAATTTTGTTTAACATACATTTTAATATGGATTTTTACAATTTTATGTTTCTTATCAGTGATTGTTTTTATGTGAATAACAGTCTGTTCAAATAAAAGTTTTTATGTGAATAAAAACAATTGTAGGATAGCATAAAATATATTTTGATTAACATTACAAGAAATCTGATAATAAAAGAAAACCATCAAATAAATAAACATTACATACACATAAGCAGCAAAATAGCAGTACAGGTCTAAAAGTTCGTGTCAGAATAAAGAAAAATTCCACTGATTTTTCAACATTTCTACATAATTCAATAATTCAGTCAAACTTACCCACTTGGATGTTCTTGGATTTTTTCTTGGTAAGTTTCTCTAGAAAGACACACATCACAGCGCCACCCCGAAATGACTTATGGAGAAATTTTTAAAAATTGATAGTTATACTTAAACTGGAATTCTATCTTAGATTTCATTTTCAGAAAATAGCATTAGAGCAGTTTTCTACAGTAGTTAGACAGCGACTATCTTTCAATTAAGGACAAAAAAGGAATAAAAACACATTAATAATTGAAATCATTGACATCATTCACAAGAAGTTGAAGCACATGAAGCAGGGAGTATAAGTCTAGTCTGACAAGCTAGGGGACCAGCATTGAGCGGCTAGCCTGCATACAATGCTAGCATCTAGAAATGACATAATACAACTTTTTCTTATCTTTTTTTTGATACTAAAACTTGTAGTTTCAGCTGATACTAATCTGATAATTTGTCTTTAAAACAGAACACTAAGCTTTGTAAGGAGAAATTTTTAATTTAAGCTCTTCACTTAAGTTAAGCATCTTAAAGTAGACTATCAAACACTCCACTACCCCACATGAAGAAATACACAGGTAACAACATCACACAATTTCCTTTGACACTGATATGCCATCTATACTAGCACTACATAAAAGTTGCAGATTTCATACATAAAACTGGGTAAAAAAAATATGCCCAGTTACCACATTCTCATGATATCTAATGCATTATATATTAATATAAAAACACAAAAAAGAATAATATTACGTGTTACATATGAATTAAATATGCAGAAATTACATATGAGGACACTTTATAGTGTAGAAACATAATAATCATGTAATGTTGATACAAATAAAAAGTAGTAAAGGTAGCTGTAAAGCTACCAGCTTTGCTAAGTGCTGCTGCTCACTGAGAGACTACTTTATGGCACAGCTTAGTGTGTGCACAGCACCTTCTGTTTTAGCTTGTAATGACAACACAGTATGATTGGTGTGGGTGCTTTGTTCCACAGCGACTGTCTGAATACAACTTTATTCTAGATTTTTGCTCTGCTTCATGCTCGCACACCTTCTGATCACACACTGTGGCATCATGATGGCTAGCATTTTCCCCTCATCCTCCTTTTGAAGAGCTCTGCTAGGCTTTTACCCGCAGTACAATGATTAATGCCTCTGTACACTGTGACATTTTTTAAACTCATGTTTCCAATCCAGCCCTATAAGCCTGTGCAAAGCATATGCATTTCAACAGTGACACTCTATGGGCCACTCTCATTTCACCCCTTGGTGAACCAAAAATACATTAGAGCCAAAATCTTATTATAAAACTATAAAACAATTCTCAGGCATCAGGAAAGGTATTCATAACAACTTTGCATAATAGGTTTATGTGACATAGATTTTAGAAGCATTAAACGCTTTGGATGTTTGGTTCTTATCCCTACCATTCTGACTCAGTAAATTGCTCTAGAACAGCAGAATTAACATCAAACCACTCTGATTGACGTTGTTTACCTCTTTCGAATTGAATTATGGAGAAATTTTGAAAAAAATGGTTAATTTCCCTTTAAGTATAACTGTCTTACATTTTCAGAAAAGAAACAGCAGTAGACCAGTTTTCCACAGTGGCTGGTCTTGCTTGTGGTTTGGCTCTGGCTCTCTCTAAACCAAGGACATTAAAAATAAAAAAGTAATTAAAACACATTTTAAGGAAATATTAATTGTTGTGCTAATCACTGATTGCTAGTGGCATCACAATAAAACTCTACAAAGGTTATCACTTTAAGCTCACTCTTCTCTCAGCATTCCATGAGGCAAGCAAAGTTGTTCCTATCCTCACACTGAGTCAGATCAGAGTACCCACTGGAGCCGTTATGGATGATCAGTGGTTTGCTCCAACCAGAGGTATCCAAAGGAGTCTTGTTCCGAAAAACTGCAAGATTCTTTCTGGACTTTTTTCAGATGGATGGAAGTGGAGTCGCCAAGTTTTTCTGTGAAATGTTGGGGAGCTGCTTTCTGTTTTGGCATGCTCAAAGGCAGGAGAGCTCAACATGCTACCT